GAATTACACTGAAACTTTCAATTGCCAGATGCTGACAATGATATTTGAATTGGGGAACAAAGTAGAGAGGAAGGAGGTTTGATCAGGATCTGTGGTGCAGAGATGAACTACGAGACTGAATGAAATGAAGGGCCTGAGAAATGACAGTTAGAGGAGAGAGTGGGGAGCAGAAATAGATGAAAGAAATCAGGGGGAAAGTTTCTGTGCCTGACAGGGCATATTGCTGGGAAAAAAACCCAAGATCCCTGACTCAGCATTTCCCTACTGCCAACAAACATCCACAAAAATGTTTCTGTACTGCTGGGGCTCCTGGAGGTTTGTAACCAACGATTATAACTATTCTTTTATCTCTGCAGCTGAACTTTTGTTTGCTCATTAGCCTGTCGGGTTGGGGCAGGAGGCTGGAGACTGTGCTGGAGAAAGATGGGAATAAAGAACGTAGTGCTGCACTGACAGGAAGTTTCAAAATTCAGGTTGTCCAGGGGATCCGAACTTGCTCCCTTCCCACTCAGAGGTAAGTATAAAGATATAAACCTTTGCTAGGCACATCTGTTCCCTACAGGATCGACTTACTCCCAAAGTAAACCAAACTGCATTTTTTTGACAAGCAGATTTTTAGTCGTTTATCTCATGATTCTCCATGTGGCTCCATGCCTCGTTGGCTGCTCATTGATGAATTCTCATTCTGAATGATAAATTAGCAACTCCTCCTTCTTTATGGTGCTCATCACTGGAATATGCAAGTATGGATAGATCCACAAAAGTAACAGCTTTCAGTTATGTAGCCAATCTTTAATTTTTTCATTTATTACTTTGAAAGAAAAGCTTCATTTCCCAGGTAGCTCGTGTAAAATACATACCCTCATGGGTACAAATTTACAATCCAAAGATTTGAGAACAAGAACACTCAGAACTCATTTATCTGGATTTCTATTTTTAAGAAGCCATTTAAGAAGTCACAAGAGAAAACAGCACTTCAGTAAAAATATTTGGTGCAAATAAAAACAGGAGACCATCATTGCCTCATAGGACCCATACAGCAAAAAGACAAGACAGGCAAACCAATATTCATGGAAAGAGAAGTAGAGAAAGATAAAGCTATTGGCAAAAAAAAGAGGCTTGGACTAGAACTAAGTCCCACTCCAGCATCTATCCATCCATCCACTCCCCCAGAGTTCTTCTTTAACAACTCCCACCAATAGATCTTAATAGCTTTTAATGACTAACATCAAGAAAAACTGAGGCTCTAACACAGGGAGCTGCATTATCCCCAGTTTACGAAAGAGGGAAACTGAGGCACGAAGCAACCTCATCTCTCACCTAAGCAGATGGCAGGGACTGAAGGTTGAGTTGGTCCTTCATTTCCTCACCAGAAACGCAAACACCTTACATTTTGCTAGAATAGAATATTAAGATTCTTTAGTAATTGTTGTTCTCATGCATTGCATTTCCATGGAAACATACGTTTTTAAGGTAACATTAAAAAGCTGGCTGCTTTTAAAAGCTCCATTTTACTTACCTGCTTTTTAGTGACATAACTGTTTCTATGGAAACTGGAAATGGCCATGAAGCAGTCCTACAACATGAATTCTCCCTCATCAGTTTTACATTAAAGTGTCACCTTCAAAGTCCTTTAATAAACCAGTAATAATTGTGTTGCCTAACGAGTTTTCAAATTAAACAAAACAAGAAAGCACGCTTTCACTGAACGCTCGGCACAATATTTTGTAGGTGTGGTCTAAGAATTTTAACAGTGCGCATGATATGACTCTCTCGGTTAAGGATATGATCTTTAAACAGAGAGACAGTTTATTAGCAGTAAAAGCCCTAGTGTGTGTAGTTAGACTTACATAAAGGTGACTTATACCAATATGGGTATGTCTAGACTGCTGTCACAGAAGCACACTGTAGAGATACTGAGTAAATGGGTAAATCAACCTACAGTGAGCTCTGTGCTCCCACAGCTAGCTGGGGTACTTCTGTGCAGGCATATGCATACAGTATTCCCTGTAGGTACAAGAGAGGGAATGCACTCAACCAGAGTAAGTGTTAGTCTGTATTGGGTGGCCACTGTGGAAAAAAAATAAAGCAGGCAAGCTTAAGGCACAACTATTCCGTACATTTATTCAGAATAAGAATCTGTGTAAGTTAAATCTAGGCTCCTCCATTAATTTTACTTTAACCTTTCACTCTTGTAAAAACGGCAGGCTCCCTTATGTTCATTGGTATTTCCCTGAGTTAACTCAACTGAGAAAAATCCTTTTTTCCTGTTCCTGGGGAGGAATCTCAATGCACCCTCAGAAGTCCAGGATTGCCAGCAAGGACCATCTTAAAAACTTCCAAGGATAGGTTCTTTCCAGAGTCACTTATCCCTCGAGATGAATTCCTCCCACCTCATCTCTGACACTTCACAGTTGATCAGTGCTTTTAAATTGCAACAGGGGCAGAACAAAGAGGCAACAAACTTTGTGTCTGCATCAGCCTCCAATGCATAGAAAATAGGTGGCCAGGGTTTTAGGCAGATGTTAGACACAGAAATGCATCTAAAACACAGGAAATGTAGCATCAGAGTTGGAGGGAACAGAACACATTCGATGCTGTGTGTATGACTATACAAGCTGCAAAGGACAAAGGTGTAATCCTGTTTCGGTATGAATTTATTTTAAAGAGACCCTAAAGAGCAATATGATCTCCAGACTATCTTTTCCTCCAAGACTCAGCTGCACAGAGCTCCTCCCAAAACTCATACAGGCCACACACTTGGCTGACACCCTCAGGAGAACCAGCGTTTTTCTCACTGCTAACCTAAGAGAGGAGGTCACCTTTCCCACTGAGCTAGCAGCATTCTTTTAACCTTTTCCAGCAGAATCAGGTTCTGCTAATATAGGACTTCTCAAGAAAATGCCCCAGTCAGTCCCTTAAACTGGATGTCATGCTCTTCCATACGGTCCAAGACACCACATACTTTCCTTTACAATATCCTTAAATATTCATGCCAAGTAGGCAACCTGTCCATAATCAAGCAGTAACATAGGGTTAACTCCTGAAGTGACTCTGAATTTAGGAATCGATACTCCAAACTACTCCCATAGACGGTTTTTGTTTTTAAGCATCACTTCAAACTTATCAGCAATCAGAGCAGGAATCTGAGAAGCAAACCTCTGCTATGGTCAACCAGACCTTTCTGAAGGCATAAATGAAAGTTGCAATTCCCCTCAGTACCACTTCACTCAGCATCTGGACTTCTTTCCCTGCTTTCCAGAGATGTTCATGGTGGCAGGGATGAGAGGGAGACTTTTACAATTCTTTCTTAATCCTCTTCTCTTTTATTTCTTTCTGCACAGGTACATCCTTTCTGCACACATTCAGGCCCATATTAACATCTGACTAGAAGGTACCCAACTCAGAGCAGCAACAGTAGGAGCAGGGCAGCCTGCAAGAAAACCAACTATTGAGCCCTGCAGCAAGTAGGGAGTTTACAGCAAAAGAATGATTCATACATAGTTTTCCACTATGGACAAACGCACATTCTCTTTAAGGCCAGAGTTTTCCACAGGCCTCTGAATGCAAATGCCAAATACTTTGTCATGTTTTTCTCTTAGCCTATATCTCACTGCAGCCAGGGTTTGGAACGAGGCACATAATATAACAACAAACCAGAGACCTGGCACACATGGGGCTCCTCACTGGCTTTCCTCATGCATATGGTTTATTTTTCCCTGCTGTGTCAATCCTTATAGGGCTTTACCACTACATCTGCCTCCTGGGAGTCTGCTGTTTCAACTGTTAGAGGGAAGGTGCAGAGGAAAGAAGAAGGATACATTTAATCCTTTCTACTCTTTTCAAGTTAGACGTCTCATCTCCACACCAATAATTAAACAGATTAATTAAACAGATAAGCCTCTGCAGCAGGAAGCCCTCTCTAAGGATAAATATTGAACAGCTACAGGCTTTGAACTGTGGCACATAACAGAGTTCTGATTATTCCAGATCAAACGTCCTGTACGGTAACCGTCTTTGGGCCAATGTTACTCCATCGATGCCTTGTGCTCCTCTGCAAGCACAGATATGGACAGTATTTCTTCCCCAAAGGTGACAAGGAATAGAAGACAAAAGGCAGCAGGGAGCATGGAGATTACAATGGGTCTTGCTGGCTTTTGTTATTTTCTTTACCAAAGCATGTGATTTATGGTTTACTATTCGTGATGTAGGAAGGAATTTAAAAACAAACTGCGAAACTTTGGCTGATTTTGAGAATTCTAGTCTGAATAGAATCCACAACAACACGCACACGGTAGCCAGGGGAATCCAGACACGCTTGACAAGCAGTGGGCAACGCTGCAGGATGGGGAAGGGATGCAGGACCCCATTCTTGAATATTGCTTTTCAGAGAAAGGTGAGGACTGCTTCAGTCGTGTGAAAGCTGTGCACACTCAGGAATGCATATTTACAAACATGGGCACACCAACAATGCCAGGAAGGACAGGCAAATATTTTGATTGTTGGCTTGCATGTCCTTTCTCTAGCTGTTATAAAGTATACATAAAAAGAAAGATCCACAGCTATTTCCATATGGAAAGATCACAAGATCAGTCTTTAAGCCAGAAAATCGAGTCCTGACATAACTGCTGTGAACAGCGCTCTTTAGCAGTGACTTTTCTTTAGGGCTCACTGGATGTAAATGTGAGGATGGCCACGTCACATCTCACTGCAAGGAAAGAGCCCACCTTCTTTTCCAGCTCCTCTGCTATATTAGGATGTCCAGAATCAGTTTGATACAACTTTCACTATTTCAGGAATAAAGGGAAAGTCAGCAAGAATATTAAAACAGGTATTTGGACAACTTCTCTGGAGGTGGACAAAAACAGTATTTGGAGAATCTTTTCTTTCCCCCCATCTAGATCATACCAGGTAATGGCAGCTTTTCAGGGTCACTCAAGCTCTCCTTTTCCCTTCTTTAACCTGAAGAGACTAGAACAAATGTATCTTATCTTCTCTCTTTAAAATGCCATATAATATCCTTCCATAGTGCTGACAACATCACTGTTACTCTCCAGCAGTTCCAAGACACGGTGCATCACCACTTCAGCCAGAGAGGGGTGGTAGCTCTGCCGAACACAACTCAGGACATGAAGGAAATGGCAGCCTTTTTCAGCATCTGCAGAAAAAAATGGAAATGCAGCCAGACACAGAGGAGAGACTTCAGTGTAACTGCCTCTTTTGAACTATTATAATCCAAATTAGTCATGAAAAAACCCACAGCTGTTGGAGAGGAAGAACACCCTAGGCACTACAGCAGAGGTGCATGTATTCAGAGGGAAGAGACCCAGCCTGTGCCTACAGATCTCCAATTATCAACTGTTCCCACTGACTTTTCCGGGAGGTGTCAGGGCTGTAACACTAGTAATGCAGATGAAAGAGAATCAGTCTTGCAAACTACAGGGCTCATTCAGTACAACCTGATGACGAGGTTAACTCAAGGGTACCTCCACTGTCCACCTATGCAAGCTGCCCAGTTTCTGCAACCGCACAAGTAACCAAATGAAAATTCTTCCGCTCATACCCAACATCAAAACCGGCTAGAACAGAAGGAAGGTCAGTGGCCAGGACCTGTAACTGCTTGCCCAATACTGGCATCTTGTGGAAAAACTGCTATAGTGCAACTTCCATTCACCTAGCAATGCAATCCCACCCCTGCACTTCACACTACTCAGGCAATTAGAGCACTAGAAAGTCACAGAACTTCAGTACCAAATTTTATCTCCTTTTAAGAGAAATGAGCCCTGAAAATGTACAAGAGAACAGAAATGTAAAAATAATCCCCTTTCCTAGAGGGCAAGCCAGAGACAAAGGTCCTTTTAATGGCTGCAGTACTGCATGCAGCTTCTGTGTGTCTGCTCCAGCAGGGGGATTGGACTAGATGATCCTTTGAGGTCCCTTCCAATCCCTGACATTCTGTGATTCTGTGTGGTGGAGCCACCATCTGAAGCCCAGCTGTCCCACTCAACATTGCTCCCAACAGACCCTGCAAACACATTTAATCATCAGTGCTGCAGGCTCCCAGTCTCCTCAAGTACTGAAATCTCCACAAGAGATTTCTTATTCCTCCATGGCTACCAATGGAAAACTAGCGTGAACGAGACACATCAGCACAAACTACTTTCCTCCTCCTCAGACCTCAGCTCACATAACGCAAGATAAGTTTGATAACGGTACTTGAGAAATTTCTACGGGCCAGGGAGATCCCTGAATTTTGTTGTTGCTGTGTTTGGTTTTATTTCTGCCAATCTCTACTCTAGAATCAGATGAGTCCCAGAACTTCCTTAGAAGTTGCTGAGAAAAGTCACTGGTAGATAGAAGACAACACTGAGCACTGATAAATACACAGTTCAGCCTATTGGGCTGTGATTCAGGCAAAGATATTTCTTTAGAAATCAGTGATTCAGCATGATGCAAGACCTTTGTGGCTGGTAGCCAAAAATGCGTCCACCACCCTCAGATGGACAAGTGCAGAGAACAATGCCTCTACCTGGTCATAGTGACTGCTGTTGCAAACAAAGTGTGTAGCTGCATCTTGCATTAGTCACAGGTTTGTCATAACAAGGTCAAAGTGCCCATCCCTGATCTACAGTAACTTAGGTTAAGTCTTGGTGAATTAGATTAGTGACTCAGGTGTTACCCAACAGTACAATACGTAATTTACTCATAGATGCTGGTAGAAAATGTCATTTTGGGGTATCTGCAGGTGGGTACAATCATTAAGTAACCCAGAAACACTCCTAGTCTACGACCCAGCTTTGGGGGAATACACTCCTTGAGTGATGCTGTCCTCTTTCATTGACATACTGGGCTGTAGCTTTTGTCTACCAGCTGAGGTAAGCCAGGCTGTGATTAACTGCCTTGTCTGACTACCAATATCAGAGAAGACAGAGTTATAGAACAACTACCATTTGCCCACTGTGGACATCTCACACAGGGTTCATTCTGATATATCAAATTTAACTTCAAGAGGTTCTGTTGGTTTTTTTTTTCTCTCTCTACTATTAGCCTCATCTGAGCCTAAAACCAGAGCAAATGTGTTGAAAAAAAGAGGGGGGAAAAAAAAAAAAAGAAACAAATCTGTACTAACTACCATTTTGCAGGTCATTCTGGAGTCAAAATGTACTGTTATCCTTTTCTGGCTGTCTTAAGCCTCTAGCCAGACCCACAGCGGCCTTGCATGAAGGCATTTAAGATCAGGCTACTTAGAGTTACAGTTGAAGCCAAGGACTAGGATTGCCATGCAAGCATATTATAGATCAGGATTTGTGGAGCTCTGACTAGGCACACTGAGGATTTATTTATTTGTACAACAGTTCCGGGCAGCTGGGTTGGGCCTGAGAATGTGTCACAACTAAAGCATTGGGGTGAGGCATTGCCTTGAGAACTGTCAGAGAAGTAACTTATTGGAGAGAAGAGTTTGGTTTATCATAAGTGACTCTTCATGTCATGGAAGATTAATATTATTCGTGAAGAAAAATGAGTAGAAATTTCTTGCAACAAACAAAAGCCCTTGAGGTATTACTATGTTCTTACTTTCTCACTACAAGCCTGCTCCCTAGTCAGGGCCAAGTGGGTGGCTAAGATCGCCGTCCCACCAGCAGAGGGGGTCCGGCAGTTACACTGAGCCCTGCTCCTGCATCATGCAGTGACAGTAGAATATCCGCAGTGCCCTGTTGGTTTTGATTGAAGCTTCTTGGCTTTCCTTCTCAAAATCTTCTATTACTAGTGACCAGGACATTGAAATTGTCCGTCTGAAAACTAGCAGAGAAAGAGACACTGACCTGGAAATTGTCCTCTTTACAACAGGAAACTAAGTAGGTGGAAAGCTTCAAGGAGAAGAAGAGGCTCTGTAAAGCAGTTGCTATTTTTAGCCTGCTCAGTATGGGAAACATGGCTTTGAGGAATCAGGACTCGTTAAAGTCTTTTCTGTAAGTGATCTATGAGTTTCTTTCTGTTGTTGACTCTTCCTGACTAGAAGAGATAACCTCCCAACCTCTCATGGAGCACAAAGAGTACTTTACCAGTGTGATAGTGCACAAGACAGGAGTTAAACACCAGGCAGTCACTCAGTGCCCTGTGTCAACTCTATACAGGTTGTGGCCTTTATACTGGCACAGTTATTAAAAAAACCACCACCATCACCACCAACAAAAAAGGGGTTCCCAGGAGAGCTAGCTGATGGATAAAATGAGCAGAGGAATGATTTGACTCTTACGGAGATGTTTGTATTTGTTAATTGGATAAAAGACACTATAACAATGTGATATGATAACTTGTGGCACTGAAACAATCTCAGGCAAGTGAGCCCATCTTCACCTGCCTGCCCAGTAATGTCTACTCCCTCCATCCCCCAAAGATACAGAACTTTTACCTGCACCTACAAACCTTGTCTACAGTTGTACCGCTGCTTAAGGTAGCCAGTTGAAAACTCAAAAATAATACCACCTCACTGAGCCTTTTTTCACTGCAGGATAACCATCATATGCCAGGTCCTACAAGCACTACTGCAGTTATGACAGTATAAGGATACAAACAATTTTAGATTAAATGCCTTATGTTCTAGTCAGTCATTTAATCTATACTGAAGTCCATTCTACCGCACAAATAGCTGCACTCCTGCAGCAAGTGATCCCTGCTGACACACTCTGCCCAAGGAATTGAAAGAAACTCTGTAGCAATGTACCTGTGTAATTAGCAGACATTGGAGTCAAGCACAGGCTATCACTATGGCAATAAGACACAACAGACTTGAGGGACAGGGATAACTCAGAAGCCACACAAGGTACATTATCTGAAAAGAAGTGAATTTTGTTAAGACTGAAATCCCTACCTGCAAAGAACAACCACCTGAGTTTAAAATCGACAGAGAATATCCTATTGACTTAAGTAAGTTTTATTGTTGACTTTATATGGAGGCAGGGATTCCACCTTTCTGTACAGTCACTTTTGTGTCAACTCCCCTGCAGAAACTGAACTAGCAAGATTTGCTACTTATTCAGAGTGCAAAGCAACAGCTGCTAGGTGCTGACCTAACTTCATTACATTTGGTTCCTCCCAAAATCTAAGTATTCCCAAAAGATATAGATCTAAGATAACAGCTGCTTATTTCAGATCTGAGAGGTTTGCTTCCTGCTGGGCACACCTGCTCTTTCTCTCTCCATGCTCACAGGAAGCTGTTCTTGCACTCCCACTTCTAGCTATACTGATTAGCTACACCAGCAACTTAGCTCTGAGTTCAAGGGTAAGGACAAGAAGCATAGCTAAGCCAGCAGCAGGAGGAGATATTGCCATCAATATATCAGCACCAGCTCATCAGAGCCCTGATAACACGGCTACTTACGCCTGGGTTTTCGACAGTCATCTTTAATCACCTCAAGGGTCACTTTAAGCAGCTCCTTATCATGGTCAGTCACCTGGAGAAAACAGAAGAAACTGGCAATTTAAGGCAGTCTATTTCACAATAGATGGCACGACTGTTGAAAAGCAATCCAAGGCCATGATGTATTCAAACTAACAGTCATAACTACAGTCTGCATTATATACTGCCTCTGAGATTAATAATGAATGTTAAATCTTCAGTTATTATTTTTAATACCATTAGCAGCATCCATGAGTTAGGTGAAGAACATGATATACTAGAATTCGACTCAAAGGAGGGCAACTGACTCATTAGAACACCAAGTTTCAACCCTCTTCGATAGAGAGAACTGTCCCAGGTTCCAGGCTTCAGTGTGCTCAGCTGTGTCAGCACACAGCTTGGCAACCCAGCGAACACAGACTGTGCCTGGAACAGCAGCAGTGCTTCAATCTGGTGCTGAGTTACAAAAAGAACACTCAGTGGGTGATACAGAGGTAAAAGCAACAGTGAAGTAAGCTGCAGATAAGATTTTTGAGTAAACAGGCAGCACCTGAATGTCCAGCTTCTCTTTCTGAAATATTTCTACTATTTCTGAAACATTTCTACTGTTTCTACTGAATATTAAAGTCATATCCCTGAACTTGTTTGCAATCACAGCTCAGTTCCTTACATGGTATAAGTCCTTGGAGCTACTAGGTTTCTGGAAAATCACCCCTTTTTCTTGTAGCATCCTTATTGCTTCCTTAAAAACACTGTGAATCCTTTTGGAACTGCAGCTGCTTTTTGACTTCACCTGGAGGGGAAGAAAGGAATGAAGCAGATGGTGAGAAATCTCAGTTTGCTCACAACTAAAGTTATCAGCAAAAGCTTCAGATGCTTTCAAGAGCAAGAGGACTTCAGGTGATTTTGTTACATAATTTTCTTCATTTAGCAATTCACAAATTATATCTGTCATGTATGAACTAAACAACATCCCCAAGCTTTAAAAAAACTAACCAACCAAACACCAGAAGCTTGTGCTATTCTTAAGGCACCACAACCTCCTAACTGCCTTCTTTGTATTTAGCAATATTGGATTATGCACCGAGAGCTCTGTTTTGGAACAGGCTTGTGATGCTCACAGGGCATTTGACTGTTTAGCTCATAAAGCTTTGCTCATAATCAGAGTTTTCCTGGTAATAAGGGCAGGAAGATAGAGAGATCAGGGCCTTGTAAAGTGATATTCAGGAAAAATCCAAGCGCTGGGGATTGGATTCCCATCTCCTGATTTGAAACTGAGGCAGTATCCAACAAAGAGGAAGAAACTAGCAAGAACAGTATGTGTTTCTTGTCCTCTTAGTTTTCAAATTTTTTACGCACATTCTGGTCATGCTTTCAAGAATTTCTCCACAGCCTAATGAAATGAAAAGATAATGAGCATGCAAGAAATTAAGAAAGGTATATGAGATAAGGGAACAATTCAGTTTTGAGGGCAGGTGGGAAACAAGTCTCTTGTGAAAGGAGAACAATGTGCCTGGAAGTCTATAACCAAGGAGATTATTTAGAACAAAGAGTTCTGTGTTTGGGACACATTTAACAGAGTAGGAAAGAAGAGGATAAAAAGAAAAAATCCAGGAAAAGCAGTGTTTGTTTGGAAGTAGAGCAGAGCTAAGACAGTGGAATGACAGCTAGAGAAGTGGAAGGAAATAAAGAATCAGTTGTGGTGAGAAGAAAGTATGGACAGATAAGAGCAAGACCATGACTTACTCTTCTCCATCTCTATCTGTCCTACTACGTCCTTCAACCTCCCATTTACCTACACAGATTGCTTCAATTCCCCAATTGTTGTTTCCTCATCTGTGGGAACACACTGTGCTCCCTGTGGTTTTCTTTGAGAACAGACCTAAACTGCTTCCCACAAACCAACATGTGATAACTAGAACCACACCAGAGCAACCAAAGCAAGATTTGCCAAGCCATTTCTTCAGCTATCACTGTAAATGCTCCCATCCTGTCCTGAAGAAAAGTATCAGACTTCACAGATTAGGAAATCACTCACCAGATGCACTCACAGAAGCTTTGGGAGTGAAACAGGCAACCACCATGTACCAGGATGAATTCACATGAATATGTGAACCAGACACCATATCAGCAATGGAAGAATACCTTTTCACAAAACATTTATCTGGTCCATTTGCAAGCCTCAAGTGAAACTCCGACTGCTTCTACACCTGGAAGCTGACATGCCTAACTGGGAACAGTTCAGAGATCCAACAGGGGTATTAGTGTTAGCGTGCGTCGCAAGTTTCTCCATCCCCTTCCTCCAGCTAATCCTCAGTATTTCAACAGGCCATAATCACATCTCTCTCTGTCCCACAAAAACTTTTTCCTTTCAAATACACAGTCAAAAATAATTGCCTAATAGTTCAAGATAATTAACATAGAACAATGGCTATTATTCTCAGTTCAGTTGTCTCCTTCTTTTCCAGACTGAAGGACTTCAGTGCCTGAACGTTTGCCTGTCTCCCTGTCCACCACAGCTGTATCAGTTTGGATAATGACACTGCTTCTAACTACAAACCTGACCATACATCTGGACACCATTCCAGTCACAGCATTAATACCACGATCATATTTCTCTTCATAGTGCCTCTTCTGATGAATTAAAGAAACAAACATAAAACATAGCAGGAAGGGTTAAGTGAAGAGTGAATATTTTCTCATGGAAAAGCACATTCTCCTAGCCATATGTAAAATGAAGAGACTTTGCCTCTCACTCAAAGGCAGTAATAAATCCTTAAGAATCTAAGAAACTGCTAGCAAAGCAACCACCTCAAGACTCTGATCAATTTTTAATGTGAAAGCAAACATTTGGGGAGAAAAAGATAAAAATATCTCCAAAGAAGCACTATAATTATTCAGTTTGGCTTTAACACTGAGATCCCGTCAGAAAAGGGAGATAATTAAAAACAGACTCTGTGTGAACTGAAACACAGCTCAGCCTGGATGATGGATACTGAAACAGAAACGCCAAGACTGCAAGTGCCCTTTTCAGAGGCTTTAATACTGGCCTGAAATGACAGGAAAAGTTTGGGTTTTCTTCCTAGTGTGCGCTAGAACATGCTCCCTCCTCTGCATCCCTCCAACTAAAGCAACAACTGAGGAGTTTCTTTGTGAACACAATTTAAAATTACTTAATCTGTTCTTTTGATCCACCCAGAATATCTCCAGCATCTCATCCTGCAAATTCATAAGTCAATAGTACTTTTTCCCAATACTTTATCACTTTCTTTTAGGCCAAACCAGGCCCTCATTTCCTTTGGACTTGGATCCCCCCTCAGAGCCAATGTGCACCTAAGCTTGTTAGATCTACAGGAGAACTAACCTGGGGCTATACATGGGAAGAATAAATCTAGGACTATGAAATCCTATGTGATTTCACATCCCTGCTTTTATTTCAGGAGGAGATTGAAAGATGCTTGCATGTCAACAGTTATAAAGATGTATTGTAGCTGCTAATGTAGTCCCTTCTGAGTCACAGCTTATTCACCATCGCTTTACTGTTACAAAGCTTTTCATCTGAGAAACACAGATATTAAGTAGTTTAACTGCTGATCCAAAGCACCAGCAAGATTTGAATCTGGATTTTGAATTTGCTTCTCACAATGTTCACACCTCGTTTTGCAAAGTGCTCTCCTTTGGCACGCCTTAGTTTCAGGGTGCACAATTCCAGGTTCCCTGAAGAGCTGACAACAGGGGTTCCCTCCTCTCCCAAATCAGGTCCTTTACAAATAAATGAAGCTGTACATCCAAACACAGGAACACCCAAAAAATCATTCACTACTTTTGCAAAAAACATTTCCCCCCCAACAAAGGGAGAGAAGCAGCTATGAAATAACTATTCTACCATCACTACCATCCTTCCTTAGGCCAGCCAAGTACTTTGTACCAAAGCCAACAGAAGGATCCACATCTCCAGAATTAAGCTGGTATTTTAATCAATATATTCCATCTGATGGGTCTCACACAGCTTAGTGGGCTGGTGCTGTGCAACCAGTTATTCTCAGATCTTTAAAACAATACAAACTCTCTGTACAATCAATAATAGGCCAAAGAATGAAGCGGTACAGGAATGAGTCGGTCTGTTCAAAATGCTGAAAGTATGTAACCTTTGGCTCATTATGAATCACAACACACCCTGATGGTGTTCCAAGTTTCCTGGTATAACCACACACGTGATTCTACTCGTGGAATTGCCCTTTGCAATTTCTCGGGCAACGTTTAATCCTTGGCTTAGACAGGTGATAATTTTAGTAATAGTGATTCTGGACATGTCAGTCCCAAAGTCCTATAATAAGCTTTGCAATATACATATTTAAAGTAGCAGTGAAGCTTCCTCAAGAGGTAGGAAGACAAGCACATAGCATCAAGAATGTATAATGCACTATTTTATACCTACAGTACAATATACAGGGTATATACAGTAAGTATGAACAACACAAACTCTTTGCTTTAATAATCAAATCAAGAGAAGCACAAACAGCAGAGTCTGGAAAACACAACCCAAGTTACACGTCCAAGTCAGTGACATACACAAACTGGAATGGTAGCACTAAAATAGCACACATTATGGGTTATGCATGGAAGAAGTGCTTAAAAATGGTTAATCAAGACTGACTGGTTGCAAGTCATATTTAATCCAGTTGAGACACTGGATAAATCAAGTTCACATGTGATTTTCTTTAAGAAAATGAATGAAAGGCTTGTCCATTTGACAAACATAATTGCCTAAGTCCAGCCAGTACACCCTTTAGGTTCTCTAAGCACAATATTACTTTTTCTGGTTTTTTTTGCTTGTATTCTTCCTTGTGGTACCCGCACCTCCAGTCTCCAAAGTAATTTGTTTTAAGGGATAAGAGGAAGGCTACAGCTTAGGGATAGAGGGGGCTCTGGTTATGTGAAATAAACCTCTACTGGTTTTAAAAATCATAACAGATGTAAATTTGTAATTATTTTTAGAAACACCAAGCCTTCCAATTCTCTGACCTATCCTCTGTAGACTATAAAATTAAATGTTCCCTAGTACATGTCTAAGCAGAGGATTTGAGCTCTCAAATCAAACATGATTTGAGTTCTGCCATGTGCATCTGCTAAGGGGGAAATTTATTCTGGAGAGACAGAAGTCTGCACTGCTGGGGAGCCATTAGGGCTGGAACTAGGTGTTGTAGGGCATGTATGGGATGTGGTCAGGGCTCAGGTACAGTAATGCTGAAGAAGAACACAGAGATGCTGCCTACCTCAAGCTATGCCAGCTACCTCCTTCCATCTTCACCTCTCTGCTCTGCTCCACTGCCAGCAACTCCATAGCAGCTCATCACCTCCCTGGAGAAAATATTCCACAGGGACATACCCTCCCACTATGAGGAACACTGTGTAAGTACTTTAAAAGTTGGGAAAGAGATTAAGAGGGTGCACCACATCTCCTAGAATCACAGGGAAAGGAAGAGAGAGGCAAGAAAAGAGTTTAACAGCAACTGTGCTCTAGAACACCAGAATCAGTGCAAAAAAATAAAGTTACACATCCATATAGCTCATCCTTTCGCATTCAGGAAAAGTGCAAGAAGTAAACAAGTGTGTATATTATGGTGTGGCCTAATAAGTTTGGTCCACTCATCTAGCTCCTGCCTTGCCAAATAGGCACGAAATAGCATCGTTCCACATTAGCAGCACCCTTTACCCTTTTGGTTTGAGGGCAATGCAAAACAGAAGACTACAGAGGGGAAAAGAAAGGAAGTGGGACAGAAATCAGATCTATTACACTTATTTTTGTGGATCAAACTGGTTACTTGACCCTTTGCCAATTATAAGAAGTGACACCTTCAGACAGAGGAGAGGAATAACGAAATGCATTTCCAGAGCATTACTAGGTGCTCCTCTTAAGGCATTCAGGTCACTTGAGAACTGCAGGTTCTTTCTTACGCAAAGATATATAAGCCTCTTTGCAAGGAATTAATACCAAAGGGCAATAGGGAGAACTGCAATTTCTAAATAAGCATCTGTGTGCCCAAATTCCTGGGACATACACTCACACCCTTGCATCAGGGTCAAGAGCAACTGTTAATTATTATGATAGCTCCTCATGACTGCTAACAACACTGATGCTACATTGTTTTCGTTACTTTGGCTTTTTTGGTTAGTGGTGGGTTGGTTTGTTTTGTGCCTTTCTATGTTTCTTCTGCACCAGTTCCTACTTTAAATGGCTTTGCAAGTTATTCATCTTGATCTTCCTATAAATACTGTATTATTACAGTATTAAAGGAAGTAGAGGTCATTGTGACTAATATAACTTTTAATACTGTTCCAGCTAGTTTAGAAAAAATACCCTGTCCCATGTTGGATATCCTAGTATCAAACCTTTCTGTTAAAAATGAGTGTAGCTCCTGTTATTGTTTATTCCATGCTTGCTTTAAAGCTAACAACAAAAATGCCTTTAATAAAAGAAACAGCCATCAGAAGCAGTTCAATGAGGCTGACAAGAATAGAGATACTTTTCATTACTGTTTTACCTCATCCACAAGGGACTGTTTTTTGTGGTTTTGGTCTTTTTTAAGAATTAAACAAACATCAGATGTTAACATAACATAGCACTTAACTTTACAGTGCATATCAGTATCAGGCAGTGAAAATGACTGCCACAGATTTATTTCTCTGCAGAAAACAAAAAAGTAAACAAGTGAGTCACAAGCTCTAGTTTAAGTTTCAGTTGCCATTGGTAACATGGTAACAACTGTAACTCTGGTACTTTTGCAGAAATTTACCACTTTATACCAGTTGAGAATCTAGTTTGTAATTTATCCAAACAACACAAGAGTAATATAAAACCATTTTACAAAATGTATTTTGTTCTATTTCCATTCTGCAGTTGATCAAGAGCATACCATCTCACTGGAAAGTTTCTTAACAGCTACATGCAACTGCATGTAAACTTATTTCAATTAAATCCTACCTTGTGATACTTTCAGTCATGGCCTTTCACAACTAGGGATTTCCAACAAGAGAGACATGTAGCAGGGAGCACTGCTCATCCACTCATTATAATCTCCTTTTGAAAGCTATACCTCTATTAATATATTGAGCTTCAAATAGGAAACAAGACAAAGACTTTGTGCCCCCTTCTTCTGATCAAATTCAGGATCTCAAACATCTGTCTCAAACAGCCTGAGCACATTAAAAGGATCTCCTTTTCTGATACTGCAGCTGTTTAGAGATCTACATAAGTTAGTGCCTGTTGCAGTCTGTAAGGTTACTCAGCCCTAATACAAGATTACCCTTAACAACAGAATTTTCTCATACGACTTTCTTCAGTCCAGTTTTGTATGTTTTCAAGTGACAAAGTTTCCTCAAGCTCTGTAAATAACTCATACATAAAGCTAAAACACTTGAGTTTTTTTGAATCCTCTGAAGGCACCATCCTCTGAGCTGGTGGTTTGAAAAAAAAAAAAAAAAACAAAACAAAACAACCCAAAAAGTGGTATTAATTCCCCACACTGAAAACTTGAAACACTTACATTCACTCACCTCCTGACAGCTGGGACTGGGTGCACACACACCAGCCAGTGACACCAGAGCATCAATTGTTTCCAGCTCCTGTTGGTAAAACGTCTGAATTTTGTTTTCTAATAGAAAGCCTTTCACTTTCTCATGCAGCACATTGATTGAGAAATTCTGACCCTCCAGACCACTAAAACAATACACAAAATATGTCAAAAAGCAAGAAATATACTACTAAAATTTTTCAGAACAATTACCTAAAGTTAGCTTGCTAGACTGGTTTTAAAAGATCAAAAGGTATTTTACTGCCCTTAAAGAATATGAACTTAAACCCTTAATTAAAACACTCTCTTTTTACATGCAATAAACATCCAACTGTTCCTCTTCAATCATATGCTGTAATAATATTGTGATTTTAAGATCTGCAGTATCTGAAACCACACTACATGCATCAGCCCTCTCAATAAACATGCAGCTACCCTTAAACTGAGTACAGGAATGGGTGTTTGACTCAGGTTACTGAGGTTATGTATTTGTGATTTGATGATGATAAGAGCTGCAGAAGTTGAGAGCATTTTCATGGAATAGCTCCTTATCCTTACACATAAAACAAAATCAGGCAAGGATGCTCCTCCATCTAATCTGTTAACCTCACCCCAAAATCTTGCTCCAAACCCCAGCCTTCTTTACTAGATACAAGAGGTCTACAGACAGTACTTTACTACCTTCCTAATATTCACTTTGGTTCAGCATTATATTTGTTTTCTCAGATTAGGGACAGGTATCTCACCTATATGGATCATCAACTATTTGGGAGAAAAGCAGGCTACTACTGTATGCGTGTGCGGAGTCTAAATCAGTCAGGCCCTGTTCTAGCTTTCTCCACTGTTATTACAGCAACAAATAAACAACAATAAAATCCCACACTTTGCCCCACAGCCAGTCTGGATGCTGCATTTACCTCTGTCCCTCCTCGGGGCCTTGGAAAGGTTTATCGTAAACTTCCCTATAGAGACAGGGGAGCTCCAGCATTCTTGAAATCTGAACATCACACACAGGATCATCCACTTTATCTGAGGCAGCAAAAAGAAGACACGTATTTGGCCAGGACTGCCACACCAACCTTTCAAGCAAGCACAGCCGAGGCAGCACAACAGAGCTTTACATGCCCGTGTTAAATTGGTAAGTTTTGTTCGCTGTTGTTTTTATAACGAGAAAACCACAATGGCCACTCCTGCTTTTACAGTTTACAAGGATGTAAACGACCTGTTGTGGGGCACTGCAGATTATGCTTTCATCTGACAACTTATTTAACTGGAATTTATGATCTATTTTTACTTTGAGCAGTCTTTATCCATTAGATGAAATTAACACATAATAAGAAGCTTTATTTGGGCCAAAGTGAAAGCAATTCAGACGCTATTTGCATTACATGGCTCTCCTCTAATGACACAATGCTATTATTACCAGGCCTTGAATGGGTTATATATTCACAAATCTTCAGTCTGGAAAGGAGGGTTGAATTCCCTCTCAGATTTTAGCTAGAGCTGAAAAATCTACAGATTTTTTATCTGAGCTATGCAGGGTTTTTAAAAGATGGGTTTCCCTCCACCAAATAAATCATTTCAGTATTGTCTCTGAAAGATTTCTCTGGGGAAAACCAACTCTTACACAATAGCAGAGACACAGAGAAGTTATGCAACTGGAGGCTCCAAGGGTGTAAACAGTGGACTGCAGAACCCCGCTGCCCAAAGAACTGTCAGATACAGAGGCAGCACCAGCAGATCTGTGCTGGAGTGACTGAAGATGAAGAACAGTTCTCAGTCATTCTGCAGAGCCAGAGAGTTTAGGAGAACCTGGGCTTCCGTGGTACAATGTGCCCATATGATGCTGCCTGCCCATGGAATGGACTATAAAGGCCTGCAGCAAACAGCAACCATTTCTCCAAAGCAGCTAACGCTCTTGATGAAGTGTGACACAAAAAGGACACCAACTCCCTTCCCATGGGCTTTGGCTGTTCTACTTCAACACAAAGAAAATTGAAGAGCAAGTCACTCTCACAGATACCCAACCACAGTATCTGCACAGCATTCCTGTATGCATGCTAGTCATCTTTTAGAGATTTTCCA